TGAGAAAAATCAAGGAAGTCAGAGAGGCCCTGAGAGAGGCTCTGGGAGAGGTTCTGGTGTTCTGCCCTGCCCTGCTGTCTCAGAAACCCTATGATTCTTAGATTCTTTCTTTTAAAAATTACTCCTGAATTCAAGTTTATTAATATGGAACCAAAGTAAAACAACAAACAAGATAGAACATATAATACCAAAATGAATTTTCTATATTCTACTTGTAGAGTACAATAATTTAATTGATAGGTATAACAATAAAATTCTGTCTGAAAAGATTCATGTGGGGCAGAATCATAATCATCTCATCTCTGGCCCCCGTCCTCACTTTTCTTGTAAGAAACAAAATCAGTTTCCATTTTCATTTCTCTGTAATGAGCCTGACTGCGTGTTTAGCCATGTCCCGGTGAAACATCTCCTCTACTTCATCCTTGATTTGGTCATTTATGTTCTTTGCTCACTTTCTCTTTATGGGTCATGAATTATTCTTCTGACATACATAAGTTCCCTTTAATAGCAAGTAACATATACTTGTAAGAAAATACATCATGTGCAGTATATCAATGAGTAAATCAAGGTATTTGTAAATTTTTTAAAAAATGATACGTCTTCAGACCAGAAAGACAACTGAAAGTCAATGCTATCACTATTTTGATATTGTCATCTTTTAATCAAAGATTAAGTAATATACCTGAGACAAAAAGAAATTCCCAAAGGTGGTAGTAGAATTGGAACTACAATTCAGGAAATGACTCAACTTCAAAGTCCAATACATTTTTCTTCTTCCAACAGACTTAGTCATTCAGGTTCATGTGACTATGTATGTATGAATATGAACCTTTTCCATAACATTAATAAAACTGGCTTTAAGAAGTTCATCTAAAATATAATGGTCCCTCTATTTATAAAGACATATTTGACTCAGCTCTATTAAGGTGACAAAAGCTTTTTCTGAATTCTTTCTTATCAACACCTAGATTTTTTTTTCATTTATTCAAACAACCAATATTTCATTGGGTACACCCTCCATGTTATATTGTAGACTTGGTGATCTAGAGAAAGGATGGATACTTAGGACCTTGTAGTATTTATTTATTTTACATCCCTCCTGCAGTTTCCTATCCCTCCTCCCTGTCTCCCCCCTTCCCACCCCCAATTCACTCCTCCTCTTCTGTTTAGGAAAGAACAGGTCTCCCATGAGTATCAACAAAACATGGCACATCAAGTTGCAGTAAGACTAAGCACCTCCCCATGTATTAAGGCTGGGCAAGGCAACCCAGACTGAAGAGTAGGGTCACAAAAGCCAGTGAAAGAGTTGGAAACAGACATGTTTCTGCTGTTAGGTGTTCCACAAGAGGATTAGCTACACAAATGTAACGTAGGACCAGCTACACAACTGTAACACAGAGTGTCTAGGTCAGTTCCATGCAGGCTCTTTGGTTGTAGGTTCAGTGTCTATGAGCCTCTATGAGCCCAGGTTAGTTGATTCTGTGAGTTTTTCTTGTGGTGTCCTTAACCCCTCTTGCTCCTACAATCCTTTCTCCTCTTCTGCAGGATTCCCAGAACTCTGCCTTATGTTTGGTTGTGGGTCTGCATCTGTTTCCATTAGTTGCTAGATGACACCTCTCTGATAAGAATTGGGATAGGCACCAATTTGGTCACAGATGGCCAGTTCAGGTTACATATCCCCTATTCCTAGGAGTCTTAGCTGGTGTTGTCCTTGTAGATTCCTGAGAGATTCACTGTTACCTGACTTTGAAATGCCACTCCCCATCCCCCTTCAGTATTCTCTTTCAGTACTCTCCCGATATACCCCCGCCCCAACCCCAACCTGATCACTCATGTTCCTATCCCCATCCTCCCACAGTCGGCTTGTGAAATCAGGGAGATCCAGTGTCTCCCCTCCCCCTTGCAAAGAACCCTCCTTGTTACCTAGTCTTTTATGTGTCTGTGGATTGGTTTACAGCTCATATCCACTTATGAGTGAGTACATACCATATTTGTCTTTGTAGGTCTGGATTATCTCACTGAGGATGAATTTTTCTAGTTCCATCTACTTGCCTTGAAATTTCATGATGTCCTTGTTTTTAACAGTTGATTAATACTCCATTATGTAAATGTATCACATTTTCTTTATCCATTCCTCAGTTTGAGGGACATCTAGGTTGTTTCCCGGTTCTGGCTATTACAAATAAAGCTGCTATGAACATAGCTGAGCAAGTGTCCTTGTGGAAAAATTGAGCATACTTTGGGTATATGCCCAAGAGTGGTATAGCTGGGTCTTGTGGTAGATTGATTCCCAATTTTCTGAGAAACAGCCATACTAATTTCCAAAATGGCTGTATAAGTTTACACTTCCACCAGAAGTGGAGGAATGTTCTCCTTACTCCATGCCCTTGACAGCATGAGCTGTCACTTGTGATTTTGATCTTAACCATTCTGACATGTGTAAGATGAAATCTCAGTCATTTTGATTTGCATTTCCTTGATGGCTAAGAATGTTGAACATTTCTTTAAATGTTTCTTCTCAGCCAGTTGAGATTCCTCTGTTGAGAATTCTGTTTAGATCTGTATGCCATTTTTTAATTGGGTTATTTAGTTTGTTGATGTCTAGTTTCTTGAGTTCTTTATATATTTTGGATATCAGCCCTCTGTCAGATGTGAAGTTGTTGGAAATATTTTTTGTTTTGAGTGCTCCTGTCTTGTCCTATTGATGGTGTCTTTTGCCTTAGAGAAGCTCTTTGGTTTCACGAGGTCCCAATTATTAATTGTTGATCTTAGTGCCTGCTATATTGGTGTTCTCTTCAGGAAGTGTCTCCTCTGCTAATGCATTCAAGGATATTTTCTTCTATCAGGTTCAGTGTATCTGGATTTATGTTGAGGTATTTGATCCACTTGGACTTGAGTATTGTGTAGGGTGATAGATATGGATCTATTTGCACTTATACATGCTGACGTCCAGTTGGACTAGCACCATTTGCTGAAGATGCATTCTTTTTTTCCATTATGTAATTTTGGCTTCTTTGTCAAAAAATCAGGTGTCCGTAGATGTGTAGATGTATGTCTGGATCTTAGATTCCATTAATCCACCCGTCTGTTTTTATGCCAATACCATGCAGGTTTTTTGTTTTTTGTTTTTTTTTAATCACTATAGCTCTTTAGTAGAGCTTGAAATCAGGCATGGTGATACCTCTGGAAGTTCTTTTATTGTACAGGATTATTTTAGTTATCCTGGGTTTTTGATTTTCCATATCAAGTTGAGTTTTGTTCTTTCAAGATCTGTAAAGAATTGTGTTGGGATTTTAATGGGGATTTCACTGAATATGTAGATTGCCTTTGGTAAGATGGCCTTTATTACTATGTTAATCCTACCAATCCATGAACATGGAGAGTTTTCCATGTTCTGATATCTTCTCCAATTTCTTTCTTCAAAGACTTGAAGTTCTTGTCATAGAGGTCTTTCAGTTGCTTGATTAGAGTTACACCAAGGTATTTTTATATTATTTGAGACTATTGTAAAGGGTGTTGATTCCCTGATTTCTTTCTCAGCCTATTTATTGTTTGTATATAGGAGGGCTACTGGGCTACTGATTTTTTTTTTTTTTAGTTAATCTTGTATCCAGCCACTTGACTAAAGGTGTTTATCAGCTGTAAGAGTTCCCTGGTAGAGTTTTGGGGGTCACTTATGTATACTATCATATCATCTACGAATAATGATACTTTTTATATCACCTTGATCTCCTTTAGTTTTCTTATTGCTCTAGCTAGACCTTCAAGTACTATATTGAATAGATATGGAAAGAGTGGATAGCCTTATCTTGTTCCTGATTTTAGTGGAATTGCTTTAAGTTTCTCTCCATTTAATTTGTTGATGGGATCCCTCTTAAGAGATTAGCTTCTTTTCTCTTAATAGTGTATATTTAAGGTTCATTGATGTCTTGTTTGGCACAATAGAGTATCTCTTTTCAGTGTTGAATAATATACCATTATTTGGATGTATAAATTTATCCATTCACCTACTGGAGGACATCTCATTGCTCCCATGTTTTGTCAAATATAAATAGCTTGGCTATAAATATCCTTATTGACATAAGTTTTCAGTTGCTTTGTACTTGATCAAGCAATTGTTACATCAAATGGTGAGACTATGATAGTTTCCTATAATATCCAAACTGTTTTCTGAAATGGCCATTCTACTTTGCAGTTCTTTTAGCAATGAAGGAGAGTTCTGTGCTGTGTGTCCTTACCAGTATTTGGTGTGCTCAGTACTCTGGATTGGTTCATTCTAGATAGGTCCCTGCAGTATGTGACAGGCAGCACTGTGTCATGCTGACTTTCTGTCTTTATCTTCTTTAGTAAGGCATCTTTGCATATTCTCAGTCCATAAAAACCAGGTTGCTGTTTTAGTTGTTGACTTTGAAGAGTTCCTTGTATATTTTAGAGAATGCCAGGTAAGACTGTCCTTTTATTAATTATTCAAGATGTCAAATAACTAATATAGGTAAGAGTCTATATTTTTTTGAATTTTTCTAGTTTGATTATTTTTACTAGATGAAAGCAATTTCATTAAAGTCTAAATGTCATTAGTCTTGTTTAAACTTTTGACTGCTTTGATAAACTGTTAGTTTTCTAGGCTTTTTTCCATACATGGTAGTACTCATTAAAGATAAAAACTAATGCAGTAGAGAAACAAAATTATTTGTCTTACACAGTGATGTACTGAAGATGGATGGGTGGAAGGAAGGACGATAGACACAGATCCTGAGGCAGATCTCATACCTATTTCTACAATACCTACTTATTTTACTAATATTGGCAACACTTAACATATACATTTCTTACATTTTACCTTTCTTAAAATCATCCGGCTAGCCAAGCACAGTGGAATTGTGTATAATTGGTATAATTACTACATTATATACACAGAACAATAGTTTTAAAACTTGCACACCCCATGCATTTGCCATATTTAGATATGAGTCTTAGAAGTGAGTAGGTGGTCCACCAACCTGAGGAGAGAAGCAGTAAGGTTTTCATACAAAGATACTCTTCATAGGACACCTGCAATCTTTGTAATTCAGAGGAGATATACAGCATGTGTTTACATTGGTCATACATGCAGGGTAGAGTCATTCTCTGCCTGTGAGACACAAATACAAGTGTGAGTTAGAAAGAAATTGGGCTCGTCTAAAATAATAGCTGAATTTTGGTTTTCAAATTTGTGAGCTCCTGAGTGAAAGTGTACCTATTGCTGTCACTAATGCCTTACAGAACTAGAATGTTGGAGAACAGGAGAAACTAGTCGATAATACCCCTTTAGAATTTCAGAATTGTGAATGCTTTGCTATACTCAGAACTCATTAAGCTATATAATTCTGGAGTGCCCACAGGCATGCTTTAATGGAATCATTAGGATTCAGTTATTTTTACAGATCTTCTAGTCTGCTTATTCCTTTTTAAATTATTTTATTTTTGCGATTATAATATAATTACATCATTTCTCCCTTCCCTTTCCTCCCTCCAGACTCTCCCATATTCCCCTTCAAATTGATGGCTTCTTTTTGCATTAATAGTTGTTACATATATGTATATTTATTTATATTCCTAAATACATAAGTACAAGCTGTTCGGGATGCATACTGTTACTTGTGTGTACGTTTCTGGGGCTGATTAGTAGTACTGGACAACCAATTGGTGTGCTCTTCGCGGGCAGACTATTGCTCCCGCTCTCAGCATTCCGTAGTTGCCTGTAGTTCTTTGTGTAGGGTTGAGGTCTGTGAGCTTTCCTTCACCTATGTGAGCATGTCTTTTGTTTAGCTCCTTTTTAGGCAGGGACACTAGTTGTCTTCATACATGGCAGATATTATTTCCTTTAGCATTTAAAGGTTATTTATTACCAGTTACTTATTTAAACTAACATTTGGCATTTGACTATAGTCAGAGCTACAACATAGTTTTTTATCTTACCATTTAAAAATCAGAAGCCCCCTCTCTGTTAAATAGTATCTCATCCTAAAAACAGTTGTGTGTGAAAGTTATGCTGAAGGGGCAGTATTAGCACTTGACATCTTCTTAGTCTTCATCATATTTTTTGAGATAGAGTTTCTTACTGAACCTGGAGCTTACTTATAGGCTACACTGTCTGTCCACAAAGCCCCAGGGATCCTGTCTGTAACTCCCTAGTGCGTGTCTCCACTAGTAACACAGAAGCAGCTAAAGAGCAGGGACCATTTCTGTATTCTGATGGAGTTAGGGTGGAGCTCAGTCTGTAGACTGCTTTGCCTAGCACTGGGCTCAGGTTCAATCCTTATTCCCTTCCCTCTACCAGGACTAAGAATGTTATATGTTGTTATTTACCTCTAATCCAGGATGCTTATTTCTTGGCCCTAGAACAAAATCTAAAGTCTATTTCATGGACTGCATGATTCTGTTTAGTCATTATGCACTCCTTTCAACTCTGCCATACCCTTGAGGGCCTTCTTTCAATTCCTCACCTGGGCCAAGCTTGCTTCAGTTCTTCACACTTGTTTCTTCTGCCTTGACTGCACTACACTTTCACAGTGAATGATTAAGCTACTCAACCCTCTGGGCTCCAAGACCTCCATTATCTGCACACACACCCTGTCACACTATTTTATTATGGCTCCATGAATCCCCTCATCAGATTGTTCTAAGGGACCTTATTTGTCTACTATTTTACTCCAAGTTTTCATAATAGTGCTTGGCTCTTGATAAGTGTGTAAATGGCATTTAAAATATGGCAGGAGAAAATTACAAGTACCATTAGTAAAGAAACAAACAATATTACCATTAACTGGGATGATTAACTGCTTCAGCTAACTTTTTCTACTACTTTCCCAGCTATCAGAAAATCTCTGCTGTATCCTGAGATGTGTGTCCCAGAAATTACCCAGTAGTAGCTCACAGAAGAGGTGTCTGGATTCTAGGGTTACCTGGTAACAATGGCTCTGGCATACTCCCTAAGAACCTCTCCTTAGAAGCACCTGGGCTATCTCATCCGGTCCTTACTAAAACAGCTCCAATAAAAGGAGCTTATGGATGTCATTGCTCTAGGCTCCCCCATGAACTTTTAGCTCAAATAGATGCTTTTCTGTAACTCTACACATTTAATTTTTTTTTTTTTTTAAATCTGGTACACACAGTAAGGAATGCTTGCTACATTCTCGTACAACCTCTTTAGGCTGTCCTAAATGCTCTCTAATTCCCTTTTCTCTAAACATTCCATTCATTAATCAGCATTAATTTCCAGACTTATTGCCATTCTGGACACATTTCAGGCGGTCGCTCTTACTCACATGAAGTGTAACTGAATGCTCTTGTGCTAATGGGGCTTTATGGATTCATTACTTTTGGGAGGAACTCTTAACAGAATCTATAAATGTACAATAAAGGATAATCTCTATTGTCTTCAGAGAATAGACTCTGTGTATGAACTTATGCACATTCTAGGAAAGAATAAGCTACTGGCCCAAAGGCTAGTGATAAAAATAGAAAGTAAGAACAACCAGGGCTATATGGAAGAGGTTATATTTAGTCTTACTGTGAACTAAGAGGGTATGGTTTGAAGAATGACCAGTTTAGGTATTGACAAAGGACATTTAAGAAGAACAAACAGAAAGTAAGGATGCATTGGATGGCCCGTGGATCAGAACTGCACTTCAGGAGGAAAACATTAGTCAACATGAAGACAATGACAATGGAGGTAGAAAACCAGTGAGCAGAACAGCTCCATGAGACCAGAGGGTGAAGAGCTGCCATTATTCACGAAAACTAGCATAGGCCTACAGGGTAAGACAATGGCTGATTTATAAAACTGTGAGTTGTGATGGTTCTTCAGTTAAAAAATCACTATGTTTCCTCATACACATTCTTTTCTTTTTTTAGACAGGGTCTCATGTGGCCCAGGCTGGCCTCAGACTTGCTATGTAACTATGGATAATCAAGAAGCTCTGATCTTCCTATGTCCACTTCTTCAGTGCTAAGGTATCCACACTGCACCCAGTTTCTGCTGTGCTAGGAATCAAATGGAAGGTTTCACACATGCTATACAAACACTACCAATTGAGCTACATACATTCCTAGCGCAGGTCTCACGGTCTTTCCAGGGCCTGGATGTTATAGCCTTGCCATGCAAACAGATACCTCTTGTCTCTGTGTCTGTACCACCTCACATCCACTCAGTGGGGACAGTCTCATTGCTTTTATTGACCCCACATTAGTTTTCTCATACTTACTTTGTTTTCTTGATTAGGGTTACATAATTCAAACAATAGTACAATAAGATTATTGTTATTGTTTCTTGCCACACTGTATTGATCTCAAGACTCCAGAGATGCCCAAAGTGTAAAGGGTTTTTGTTTTTTGTTTTTAAACATGGTCTTCTGTTATGTAGCTCAGGCTAGCCTGGAACTCACAGAGATCCACTTGCCTCTGCCGCTGGAGATCTGGTATTAAAGGTGTGTACCACCACATCCAGCTGGAGTAAAGGTATTTTTAAATGTTATCTTGAGACAGTAATAATGGTACATATGCATATTCTTTATCTTATAATTACTCTACCTCAAGCACTAATGAACAGCTTTGCTTCAAGTTTGTCTAGATCCTAGATAGCTGGTAGGATTGATTCAGAACCACATTATTATGATAGCACACTGGGAAAACATCAGCTGGTTGAAATACTGCATGAATCTAACTTACTCATTAATGATCAGATCAGGAGCAAAACACAGCAGGTTTGCACTTGCTTGTCTGTATGATCTCCAACCCAGGGCAAATGCCATGAGAAACATCCATGAGTACTGCAGGAGGGTCATTTGGTCGTCCAGGTGTAAGTTTCGGAATCCTAATTGAAAAGAAAGGTGTAAGGCAATACTCCAGTCGATCAGCTGGCCATGTTTGGGGGTGGCCTTTAATAGATAGCATCTTTCACATCAACACCTAGGTGCTCAGAACTTTTTAACAGTTTAACAAAATGTATAAATAGCTGGGTTTTTTTTTTGTCACTTTTGCCTATTTAAGTATACACAAAGTAATATAGTAAAAGAGAAAGCCAAGGGTCTTGGCTTAGGATAAATTCTTAATGGATTTAGATTTCCTGATATCTATCTCCTTTCCTTTGCTAAGATGGTGGGGGTGATGGGAGCTTAGCTAACTTATTCTTACTCGCCTGTGTGTGTAGCCATAAGTTTGCCAATCCCCTCTATCTGTAAAGTCAAGACTGATGCTTAACATTGACTTCTACTACACCAAAATTCCAACATGAAACTTTTGTTTAAAAATGCCTTAGAATTAGATGGAAATTTATATTCACATGTGGCATTTCATTTAATGAAAAGCAAAAATGATTTTGTGTTAGTAAATTTTGACAAATTCAACACACCTACTGTTTATCAATTTCAAAAACAAACAAAATGAATGGAATTCCTAAATGTTCTCTTCCAGGTGTCAGAGTGAATGGAATTTGAGTTAATTCTGGTAATAGATGATCCTATCTAAAATGAAATGCTATGGGTGACCTGAAAATCAAGGAATAGTGTCTGTGGTTTACTATGGTCTCTCATTTGTCCTTATGAGTAAGAGAAGCAAGATTTGCTGTGAGATTAGGATGATACTCAACCTAAAGAGCCCTAGAGCAGCTTTATTTTTGGGGGGTGCTGCAGATTGACCCCAGGGTCTTGTGCATGGTAAGCAAATGACACACCACTGAGTTATATAGGAAGCCCAACCCAGAATGCTGCTTTTGTTTACAACAAAATACCAAGGTTCACACTCTAGCTCTGCCGTTCTTTGTGTCTTACCTGGTATTGCCAAATGGCATACCACTGAGTTAGTTATATACCAAGCCCAAACCAGAATGCTGCTTTTGTTTACAGGAAAATACCAAGGTTCACACTCTAGCTCTGCCATTCTTTGTGTCTCACCTGGTATTGCCTTTGCCCATTTCACCGCTGCAATCACCTGGCGCCCACCTAACATGTTGAGTGTGGACATGATTCTCCAAGCTGAGTCTGGAACAGAGCTGTCATATCCTGCATATAACACCTCAGGTTCAATCACCTCCAGCAGTGATATCAGGGTTGGGGTAAGTTGTGGTAATGTTGCAGGAACTACTGTTTTGTTAGGATTTTCAGAAGTGTCTTGTGAAACTCCTGTAGTGGCTTGCTGAATCCCTTTTATTTTTTTCTTTGTTTTTCGGGCTGTGGATATTGAGAAAAAAAATTAGAAGTGTATTGAATCAACTTTGTAGCCCCAACATTCCAATTACAAGAAGTGTTTACTTCTTTCAATAATAATTTCAGAAATTAAACTATTTTAAATTTTTTGGTATGTGTGGTAGTTTGAATGTAATTGGCCCCATAATCTCATAGGGAGTGACACTATTAGGAGGTGTGGCTTTGAGGTCTTTTGCTTAAGCTTCGCTCAGTGGCTCAGTGTCACAGTCGACTTGCCTACAAGGTGTACAACTCTCAGCTACTACTCCAGCACTGTGTCTGCCGCATGCAGCCATGCTCCTTGTCATAATGATAATGGACTGAACCTCTGAAACTGTAAGCGAGCCAATAAAATAAAATGTTTTCTTTATAAGAGCTGCCATGGTCATGGTGTCTCTTCACAGCAATAAGGAACCTTAAGACAGTATGTATATGTGAATGAATGTTTGTGCATGCACATGCGTGAGTGTGGTGTATGTATGCATGCACGTGTGGGAGCATACACCTGTGTATTTGCTCAAGGCCAGGGGAAGAAGTTGGAAGTCCAGCCCTCTTACTCGCCACCTTATTCTTTTGGAGGTAGGCTCTCTCTTTGAAATTGGAGCTAGGCTAGCAGCCAGTAAGCCCAGCCACCCTCTGGTAGCCACCCCATCTCTCAAAGTGCTGGGGTTAATAGGCATGGGAGTAGCCATGTCTAGCTTTTTATGTGGGCACTGGAACCCACACCAGGGTCTTCATGCTTGCCTAGCAAGTGATCTTACCCACTGAGCCCTCTCTCCAGCTTCAGAATTCTTTTATTAGTAATTATGGTGACATGGCATGGAAAGGGAGGATTTTTTTGTGGAAGGGAAAGATCCATAGAAGTTCACTCCTATCATTTGTTTCCCCTAAAAGTCAGCTAGCAGTTTACTGTTTGCCTTAAACTTCTGATCCTCCGCCTCCTAAGTGCTAGGTTGTATTGTTTTTCTTCTCATTTTTTAATTCTTCCAGAATTAAATATTAACATATTTTGATCATATTTACTCCTTTTTCTAACTCCTCCCAGATCTATACCCTCTTCCCAACTCTGTTCTCACCTATTTTTTTTTAACCCATAAGGTACAATTTGTACTGCCCATTTGCTCTTGGATGTGTGGCCTTCCACTGGAGTGGGGTGACCTCGCAGGGCCACACTCACTAGCTGTTTAGCTAGGGTGCGGAACTCTGTGTCTATTCCCCTTCTCCATGCTGGGCTCTGGGCTGGCTTGAGCTTGCCCAGGTCTTGTGCAGCTGTCCTAACACCATGGCTAGACCACAGTTTCCTATAGTCGTCCACTGCCTCGGACTCTTACAGTCTTTCCACCCTCTCTCTACAATGATCCCTGAGCCTTCGGAGGAGGAGGAGGAGGTTTGCTATAGATGTCCCATCTAAGACTGAGCATTTTCCACTGAATACAAACAGCATACATTTGAATTCTCTCTTGAAACTACAAAGGTTACAAAAAAGTAGACAACCGTTATTGTATTTAAAGATATGTTTAATGTGTTAGTACTTGGCTGTCAATTTTAAACAATCTAGATGGACTTAAAGCTTTAGGGATGGTCTGGGGAATTTGGACTCTATATTTAGCAACACTCTATGGAAGGCAGCACTGGGAGTGAAAAGAATGAAATGAATACCATTCTCTCAATAGCAGCATCTTTTATTCAAATTTTAGCCTTTTTAAAAGGTTTCTTTTTCTTTTTAATTATGTATATGCACTTATCTCTGTGTGGGGTATGCATACTTGACTGCATGTCAGATACCCTGGAACTGAGTTATAGGCAGTTGTGAGTTGTCAAACGTGGGTACTGGGAAGTGAACTTGGTTCCTCTGCCATTGATCCATTTCTCCAGCCCGAAGACTAGTCTTTGTAAAATACAAATATGACCATGTCTCTGCCATTATTGTTTATTTAATTCCTACTCATTGTCTATATTTACAATTCAGTGCTACTTTTTCCTGGATGACTTCTCTGACCTTCAGGAAGATGACCTTCCCTATTAGTCCTATAGCAGCATTCCTTTTGTGGCATGCCACACAATTTTGTGATTGATTTTGTGCCTAAATAGAAAGTAAGCGACTCAAACTCAGGCACTGATTTGTATTCTCTTTATACTTGTTGAGTACTTCCTAAATGAAATATCATAATAACAATAAACACTAAATTGAGTTAGTAAGAATGCTGATTTCAGAGAGCTTGCTATTTCAACTACAGCATAATCCCAAACTTTTCCAGAGGAAAGTTTTTAAATGAGATTAAGTGTTGATTATATAACTTGTTATATAAACAGGGATATCAAATTCTAACTTACACGTAGTTTTAGTTTTCTTTTGTACTTAAACCACAAACCCATCCACTAATTCCTTATTTTTTTGCAGAGTTGCAATAAAACATATTTTTCAAGAAAAAGGTGTGTTTTTTGTTTAAATGCAAAAGAAAGAGAGAAACATGAAACAGATCTCATACACAATACTTTTCCAACCTTAGGGAATGGTTTTGAGTTTCAAAAAAGGAGTAAGAAGGATGAAAACAAAGTTGCTTCGAGTTATGTAATTTTCAGTATTATGTAATTTATTTAATATACACTTTAGCTATCCTAAATTCAGTGTATATAACACAATTTATGTGATAAATTAACACATAAATGATAGGATCATGGAAAAAATCTAAAATGTTTTACAATATATTTCATTGGACAATAATATAACATGATGCTAATTAAGCATATATAAACTGAGTTCACTGAATGATTCCATCTGCTTGCTTATATAAAAAGGAAAGAGATCAGTTTTCATGTGACAGCTAGATAGTTCCTTCTAGGTATTTTCATTACCTTCAAGGTTCATTCCTGCTTGAAGACATTTTCGATAGCGACATGCTGGGCAGTTTTTCCTTCGAATTTTATCAATGATGCAATCATTTCTTCCAGCACAAAGATAATTGTGCTGTCCTAAGAGAGATAAAAAGGGGCACTGTTAAAATTCCACAGATCTGTAAGGACTTTTTTTTTTTTTATGAAGAGCCTAGTTTCTTTATGTTTTTATTTTGAGCAGAATATGATCAAGATAAAAGTCACTTTTTAAGGAAAGCACTGAAATAGGAAGGTAACAGTATGCTTGTCTACATAAATTACAGTGTTGAGAGCACTTGTTCTGGTCAACAAATTTAAAAGTTAATGCAAACAAGTTTTACTGCAGTGTTTCATGTATAGATGTGTACAAATCGTAAATATACTTGAAGATTAAGAGACAGAACTGTATCCTAGAAACCCCCTGGTGCCAAAAGTCAGCACTTTAAAAAACTGCTTTGTATAGTTCTTTTAACAGTTATAGATGGTGTCTGTAATAGTTGTTCTATTATTAATTCTGACCTATTGTTAAAGCGACTAGAGAGAAAGCAGGCTTAAAAATGTTTGGGAATCCCTAAGAAAAAAATGACTTTAATTCAACAGTCAACATTATACCTTCACGTGTAGGTATAAAAATTTAAACAAAGTGAAACGTTACAAATTGCCAGTAACTGGTCACATAAATCACAAACTTGGCAAACTTACAAAGACTATTTAAAAAGCTTTTAGAACATAAGGATGTTTAGAGTCACTTGTGGCCTCAAATACTGACTTAAAGAGTGCTAGTATCTAAATTTTCTGGTACCCAGTATTAAAGAACTGCCGTTCTCTCCTGTCAAAAAGTTTCAAAGACATTAAAAAGGAAAAGACTAAAAGTGTTTTCCATCTCTCACATGCACATTCTCCTTGTCTTCTTTTAATCTGAGTATTCAATATTGACAAAAACAATTGAAAGATCCATTTGCCTGGGGAAAAAGTAGAAGTTTCCTACACAAGACTTGGTTGTTTATATAGATATATCAATAATTAACATTCCATGTTACTTATACTAGATGAGATGGTAAGGCATTGAGAAATGAAGGTCATTTCTCAAGAATAAATCATATTTAAAGAAACGAGAAAGAATTATAATGATCAGCTTACCAGGCTGAATATAGCTAGCCCTGGTTTCTAAGAAGAGGCTTCTTTTTCTTTGATGCCTAGGGCAACCTAAGACTTGGATTAAAAAATATTTATTTTTCCTGATATGATAAATCATGATGCTCTTTTAAAAATGAGTACAGGGTTAACTATATCAGTTCAATCTTTTGGGAAGCTGAGGCTACAAGGTTGACTAATAGTTACACATCTAGCTTTATTTCAGGGCTATACTTCCATGCCAAATATCTGTGCTCTTTCAAATCCTTTCTGTATTCTGTAAGCTTCCTGGCTTCTTGGACACAAAATGGAAGAACTAACCCAATAAAATCCTATTATATGGGACTGAAGAGAAGGCTCCACAGTTAAGAGCACTTGCTGCTCTTTCAGAGGACCTGGGTTCATTTCCCAGCATCTACATGGCAGCAGCTCACAACTGTAACTCCAGTTCCTGGGAATCAGATGCCTTCTGGCCTCTGCAGGTACCAGGCACGTACATGGTGTTCATGCAGGCAAACACTCAAACACATAAAATAAAACTAAATCCTTTTTGAAAATCCCATCATGCAGCAAAAGGAGAAACAACAGATTGCATCCACAGCTAAGTGCTAAAATTTCACCCCCTAGGAACATCCCCACATTAGTGTCCTGCAGTTACTGGGAAAAAATTACTTCTAAAGTAGAAGAAATTCGGTGTTTGTTCCATGTCCAACTAAAGGATTCAGCTATTCATACTATGCTGATTCTGCTTTCTTTGCCCAGGGTGGAGTGTAACTGAGAATCTTCACTATAGTCTCAGGTTATCATAATAGTATGATGTTCAACTAGTTGATTCCTCCCTTATTATAAAACAAGGGATTGGAGCTAGTGTTAAGATTTCACAAGGAATGGCCATGCACTACTCATAGTAATTTAACAACCATCCTTTTAAGACCGGTATCTGGAGTTCCTGTTTCCTGCCACCTGGTAAATTTCCTTTGAACTTCTCAATGTCAAGTAAGGAGCCCTCAGATCATCCAAAGCCTCTTATTACTGCTGGTACTGGTACTTTGGGCTAAAATCTACTTTTAGCATGTGACTGTGGCTTGCCATTAATGATAGGTGGAGCAGTCAGACTAACAGATAGCCAGTGTATCTATCTGTCTCCTGGTACAGAGGAGTGCAGTCCCTTCCCGTATCATACCAGGGCTGGCTTCTGTGACCAGTGAAATATTTCATAGACCAAACTGGGATGGGAAGTGGGAACACAACAAAGAGCATGTCGAACACGCAGACTACCAGCTGTCCTGGGATAAACATAAAGTAACACGGTCAGTCAGCTTAAACGCCGATAGCCCTTCTCAGCAGCAGTGCAGTACAGTGGGGCATGTATCAGTGGGATGCCAAAAACGGTTTGCGAAAACATTACCTTTTTGGAGTTCATTCTCTTAGGAAGGGTTGAAAAATATGTAAATCTTAGAGATGATGATGCAGATGTTGCAGTGTTCAACACCCCAGAAGTTACTCAGTGCATGGTAGTGATTAGTTAAATGTCTTGTGATTGCTTTTATTTCATCATCTATCTACATTATAAAGTGGCAGTGTCAAGGGCTTGCCATATGTGTCTTTGAGAGTCAGTGTCTGAGACAAAGACCTTACTTACTTGGAGACCACTTTGTTGGAATCCCAGCTTTGCCACTTCAGCTCTTCCAACCTGACTGCTCGTGTGCCAGACATAGATCCTAAGAGGATCTAAGTGCTCACAGTGTGTGAAGTACATGTGTGAAGTACACACACTGATTTGGTGTGTGTACTTCACACATGGAAAGTGGAGTCATTGATACCTGTCCACCTTATATTCTACAATATAGTTATAGACACTGGGGGTAAATTGAACCCAAGAAAAAAGGAACTGGCAGGGCATAGGAGCATATGGAAAGGAAATGGAGTACTCCCAGGGTCTTAAATTAAAAAAAAAAAAAAAGAAAGAAAATATCTACTCTCTATACATCTTATATAAATAACAAATGTTTAAAACTTAACTCAGATTTATGTTTGGGTATTTATAATGCCAATATGGGGGCTAAGTATAATTTCTATTATGTGTTAAAAATGTGATGTTAAATATATAATATACCTGTCTTTTAAAAAAGAAATGCTACAAACTATGTATAGGGTTTTTACAAGTCTAGATAAAAATTTGAGTTAAGAGTACCAAAATTGATGGAATTTTAGAGCTGGGAAGTGCCTTTTCTTACTAATCGTGGAATCCAGCCACTATGCTCTGCTGAAATAATTAAATGATAAACAGTTTTTTAAAATAGTGTAGCTAATACTAATTTTTACCTAAAAATAACTGAACGAGTTAATTTTAAAATAAGAATTAAGAACAGTGGACTGTAATGGTATTATATTTCAGAGGTAAATTTGGCTTTATTTTCTGGTTTGACTTCCATTAAGATGCTTTTAGGTAGGGTATATAAAATATCTCTAATACTAATCTTTCCTCCTGGGATGTGCACCCACCAGCACATGGTCACCCTGAATCATATTTACAGTGCAATCACCTTCAAGACTACCCCTCTGTGTGATAGCCTCTGTACTTGGAATTGTTAATTCAGACTTTACTCAAGTGGACTGCGACCTCTCTGAGGGCAGATCAGGTCTTAATGGTATTTGTAGTACTCAACATGACCTCCTATTCAGCAGGGAAAATGAAAGAAAAGAATGCTGTTCTTCCCAGTTCTGGTGTCACTCATTTCTGTCTGACTGGTCGAGCTGGTAGCTTTGAAACCAACTTGGTTATAGGGAATGAAAAGCCACCGTTCTCGGACTGTCTCGACTTAGCAAACTGTCAGTTCACATAGCAGTATTCCTTACAATGTCTTCTTTCGTTCTTTCTCAGACTGGACTTCTATCAATTTATTCTAGTTCTGCTCCTTCCTCCTTTCCCTTCCTCTTCCCAATGGAGCCTTAAGAGCTACCATGCTTGCCCCTAAATTGATGTCTAGACTTGGTGGACTTTGCATACAACGAGCAGTTCAAAATTTACTGTGAGAAATAGAAACAAAATAAAGCAAAAATGAAACAAAAATGAAACTCTTCAAAACACACACTACCTTCCACTGCTCTTTTGAAGAATACTTTACAACTCCCACAGGTTAACACCCCATAGTGACATCCGGAAGCTTCATCAGAGCACACGAGGCAGAGTTTGGGAGGTGGTCCCGCTGCTGTTGAGGAGCTAGACGGAGGGGAGCTTACATCTGGTCTCATTCCAGGGCTAAATTAGGAAGAGGAGAAACAGTGTTAGGATTGTCACCACGATGAAAGGAATGTCAGAATGTATTTGTTTCCCTTTTCATTCCATGTTAGTATGTTTGCAATGAATCTAACAAGCACCAGAATACCCTATCTAAATATATTTAAACATATTATTTTTCTATATAAAATATGAAATTCAGGAGCTGGCAAGATTGCTCAGTGGTTAAGATCCACCTGCCCAGCAGACATAAGGACCCGAGTTCAAATCTCTACCACCTTTATGCAAAGCAGGGCCTAACTGTGCATGCCTATAATCCCAGCACTGGGGACAGAGTTAGGTGGCTATGAAGGGCTCCCAAGACAGCCAGCCTATAGCCAGCCTAACGGAAACAGGAAGGTTCCCAGGCCATGAGAGACCCTGTCTCAGGGCAGAAAGGTGGAGAGTCACAGAAGATACAGACCCTAGGAACTGCTCTGGTCTCTACATACCTGCATACTCCCATGCATGTAAAACATAAACATCCAACAGTAATCAAAAACTAAAATATGAAGTGCAATAGCAAAATCTTTTTGTGGCTCCTAAACAGAATGATGTTGTAGTTCACTTAGAATATAATTGCTATTTAAATATAATAATATGCATTATTTTCTAAGTGTGCAAATAGCAAGATATTTTTAAAAAAATGGATTAGACCTGTAACTACCATTAAAAATCAAGAAAGACTATTTCTACCATGCCCCCCCCCCAAATTCCTTCTATCTCTTTAATTGCTTAGGACACCAATCTTTTTTCCTCATAATTTTAAGATCTCACATTAATTAAGAACCATTATCATTCTATCCATGCTCTCTAGTATAGAAAAAAGTTACATAACAGCTCATAAATTGATCCTAGCTGAAACAACAGTTTCTTATGCCTTGGAAAAGATTATTACAGAAACATTATTGTATACATTGGAAAAAACTCTAATTTTCAACTCGGAGAATGACCATCCTGCTCTCTCTCTCTCTCAATCAAAATGCCCGAAGGCAAGCAGTGTCAAGTGTGAGTCTGACGCTCTGACCAGACCCCACTTTCCAGTTTGCAAACTTCTTACTACCACAGAATGTGTACGGTGTAGTGCTTATTAGTTTAAAGTTCTTAAACATTCAATAAGAATAATAGATGTTTATCTTATTTCATATCAAGCGGTGATGATGGTTTTCAATATTGAATTGTCCTAAGGAACTCTTATCACATGCTGACTCTGAAACTAAAATTTATACACACACACACACACACACACACACACACACACACACACACACACGTATGTATGTATGTATGTAGCTAACTAAAAAAGAATCTCCAGCTTCCTGCTTCAAATTACACTGCCTGTTCCTTATCTTCTTATTCGCTCTCAAACAGGCTTTCAAAAATATGGGCAGTATCAACTTGTTGGGTGTAGAACTCTTCATGTTGAAGTATTTTGTTTATCACTTACATAAGACAGTTCACAAACATAAACACACACAAACTCTCTCTCTCGGAACTTTGCTCACTTTATTCCCTAAGAGATAGCATTTTGGAATAAGCTGGAGTGGATGTAGATTGTCTCTTCATCCTTTATGCATGCTTTTATTTCAGCCCAGGACAGTGCTAAATCTCAAGTGCAAAAAAAATGATTAGTACATTGACAACTACAGTAATTTCTTGAGTTTGCTCGATTAGTTAGAAATAACAAGTAATTATCTTTCTGTTGCTAAATTTACTTAGGAATAAACATTAAAAAGTAGTAACTGTAGCTGGGAGTTGTTACTTATCCCTCTAATCATAATACTCAGGAGGCTGAAACAGAAAGACTGCTATACATTTGAGCCCAGTCAGGGATCTTTCAGTTCTGGGAAACCCCGTGAGACCCTGTCTCAAGAAACAAACAAACAAAAAATGTTCTGTAATTCTAGTAAGTAGTCAGTCATTAAACCCAAGGTTCACCCTACATTTAATCCTCAAATGAAGCTTCCTGCATTTAGCCAACTGTCTGTTTACCTAGCGGCTTAATCAATAGGGCAGCATTCCCACCATTTAGTTCTGGGAATAGGCTCAAGGGTTTCACATTGTTCTCTGAGCACTGTCAATAGACTTTCTGCTTGTTTCCATATCACAAGGTATTGATTCCTTGCTAGATTTGGGCAAGTGGACTGACTGCATACTACTGAGAGCCTCTAATAGAAGAGAAGCTCCCGAAATGACTGATGTGGTTGGGCATACCCTCTGGTTAATGCAGACTTGTAAAGCTGCTGCTCTGGGCCAGAGTTCTCCATTGGAGTAGGAAGGTCCTGGGATGAGCACAGAGTGTAGCAATGTGCTAAGGGAGCAAAACTCCCTAGCTTCTGTTCTGAAGATGCTCCTATTCCTGCTCAGCCAATCTCTTCTCAACTGACATCTATTTTTAGGGAGCAGCAAGTTGCTTGTATATTTAGTTTATGGAAAATGAGCACATTGTTCAAAGATTTTTAAGGTCAATCCTACAGTTTCCTTTACCAGTTTTATATATGGTATTCACATATATATATAAAATGTATGTATATATTTGAATTTTAAACAGTATTTTGTAGTATATCATGGTTTAAGAACACTGCCATGAAGAGAATCTCATTTAGCCTCTCAACCTTGTGATAAGATGTCACCATCCCTAGGTGAGGTCATGAAAAGAGTGGCATGTAGTTGATGAGGGAGAATACTGATTTGTTTCAGCTCTCAGCAGTCCCACTTGAGAGCCTGTATAGCTTTTGGAAAGTATCTACTACTTTGAGCTTTAGTTTTCTCATCTGTAAGCTGAGAAGCATCACTGGTGAATATGTTCTGAAACCAAAATAACATGTTAGAACTCTAGCGTATAGTTCATCCTTGCAGCAAGGAATTGAAGCATACATGTTCATTATTTTCTTAAGGAAAACAGAAGACTTAAGCCTAAAGTCTAGTACAGTGTCTCCAAATTATCACACAGAATGTAGAATATATGAAAAACATGTTCAGACTACTCAAATATGATTAATAGATGGGAAAATCGAGTGAAGAATCTAGAACCCAACTCAGGCTTGGGGAATCATCTGGACTACATCAGATAAAAACTCAGTACATGGAAAGCTGCAAGTCATAGACATTCGTGTGGGAAAAAAGTCAGCTTTTATTACATAGAAGGGAACTGATTGGGCTACACTGGCCATCTTTGTAAGAAACAGATGAATACAGCTGAAAATATTATTTGTATGATATTGCTGAAAGGGCTAGGGGTCAACAAAATGGCTAGATCCCCAAGGAAAATAACAGATATCTTCTAATAAAAAGCTATGGCAGAAACTAAAGTTATATTGTAGTAACTGTGTATTTCACCTGCTTTTTCTTATGGCTACTATCAAATGCTAATAGCACAGGTATGCTGTGGAACAATGTTTGTACACTGTAAATATTTATTACTCTCCTTGGTTAATAAAGAGCTGATTGACCTATAGGTAGGCAAGAAGAGATTGGGGCAAGAGAGCCAAACTAGGAGGATGCTGGGAAGAAGGGTGGAGTCTGAGAGTCGCAAGCCAGATGTGAAAGAAGCAACATAGGAAGTTTATCGATGAGGTAAACAAGCCTTGGGGTAGCACATAGATTAATAGAAATGGGTTAATTTAAGTTATAAGAACTAGCTAAAAACAAGCCCAAGCTATTGGCCAAGCATTTATAATTAATAAGTCTCTGTGTGGTTATTTGGGGAGTGGCTGTAGGGACAGAAAAGTCCACCTACACAAGTATTTATATCTCTTTCTATTTTGTCACATATTAAAAGGTACATGTGTTGATATTTACATAATTAACCATTTTTTGTTTTCTCAAGGATGCTTGGTGGACTTGACCTTTTTTAACTATGAGGTAATAGTGAATATAATGATGAATAAGTTCATAAGTGCAAATATCACCACAAAAATATTCTGATAGGGTCTTGGAGACTCCCATGAGTGCTTGAATACTCTGTGAGAATTTGCTGTCATGGAGAACATGAGATGATAACATGATAGCTTGGTAATAATTTAGTATCTTTAAATTCTCAATTGTTCTGTTTCTAAATGGGAAATTAATGAACTGAACAAAAGAAAACTTGAGGCTTTTCTCTAAAGGATAAGGAGATATTAAACTTTTACTAACTCAAGTGTGGTGGTTGGCTTAACCTTCAATTTAAGTGAATTTAATCAATAATTTTTCAATGTAGTGCAAGATATCCACCTCAGAAAACAAGTATTAACTACCATGGGAAAATCTTGGAAATACAGCTGCCTCACTGGTTTAATTTTTAACAACTACTAATGGAATAGGTGTATTCTCATCAGCTTGTCAGATTTGTTCAAATGCCACAAGGCAGTAGTTCTCAACAGGGGACAATTTTTGTTCTTAGGGGATATCTGGCAATGTCTGCAGACATTTTTATTTTTCACAAATAGGGGAAAGCTACTTTTGTAAGAGATAAAGGTCCAAGATGTGATAAACACCTTCCAGTGTACAAGATAGCTCCCAATAACAGAATTACCTAGCTTCAGGAAGCTTTGCCAAAAGCTTGCAGCACATAAATTGGTATGGGTAAATAAATTAAAAAAAAAATCTAACAGGAATCAGAAACATTAAAGCGTGTGGTGCTCATTCTCAATTGATGAAATCTAGAACACAATTCTTACAGCTAAGAATCAGAATATCTTGGGAAAAGGAAGATTGTAACAGCCAGAGGGCACGGCATCTACTGTGAGGGAGTGTCTTCCATATGGACAGGAGAGCTGTACCCATGAAATCTCAAGGATATGGTTTCCTAAATAAGACCTGAATAATGACAATACCAGTTGACATGCCAACGTGGAAGGAGGGTATCTCACAGGGTCCCACCCCTAGAGACAATCAGTCTTCCTCAGTGATGTGCCCTCTAATTAGCTAACACCAAGTAGTCAGCTCTAAAAAGTATACATCTGAGCGACAGTAATGTACTCAGGTTATATTTTACACAC